GAGAGCCAGGTCAACGAGCTGGGTACATCTCCCCGCAGCCGCTTGTCACCAAGACGAAATCGGACATGTAGAGTTCACGTCTGTGAGGGGTCGGTTTGTTTGTCGGTGTTTCTTCCAAGATACAAACAAAATAGACCCATTTCTCTGCAGCCGGCTTTTCTCTACCTCTCCGGCATCTGTCGATACTGTTCTACCTTTATTCATTTCCTATATTATTTATACCAACACACGTACACACACACACACACTCACGAGGCAGCTGCAGCAGGGCAGGGCAGTCCCTGTGCTCATGGCCAGCGGCGTGGCCGTGTCAGACCAAGGTAGGCAGGGCCAGTGTCCAGGCTGGACTGTGGCCTCTGCCTTCTCTTTCATGCGACACGCATTGACGGAGCCACGGTCTCCGTCCTCGGCACTGGGGGTCCACGCACACATGCAGCAAGCGGCCCCTGGACCTCCAAGGTCAGCGGGGAGGAAGAGGGCTCTGGGCGAGCCCGGGCCCCGCCCCTTCGCTCCCTATTTCCCTGCCAGAGCCACACACTCCCTCCCGATGTGTCCCCACGTTCCCTAGGTCCAGCCACGTTTCTGCCACCAGCTCACGCACGCCCCTGGGCCTCTGACTCACCATCTGTGGGTTCTGGCCTGCAGAACCCACAGATGGTGAGTCAGAGGCCCAGGGGCGTGCGTGAGCTGGTGGCGGAAACATCCCCCATGGGGGGTGGGGAGTCCCAGCTTCGCCTGAGTTCCTTTAGTGGGGCAGAAGGCTCTAATCTCCAACTCAAGGTCATTCAGTTGTCAGAAAGCCCCATCTTTCAAAAGAAGTTAACCCACCCACTTGTGACCTTCATCCCTCGATTTATCAAACAGGCATGAGGGCCACTAGTCTGGACTGGCAGCAAGCCTGTGGTCTCTCAGTCACGGTGCGACCTCCAGACAGGCTGGCACCTGCCAATCATCCCGCTGTGCAGCTAACCAGCAGGCACTGTGTTAAGCCCGTGACTTGAAGGACCTGTTTTCATCCTCCCTGCACCCCACCCCGCCTCCAGGAGGCGGGCACGGTGAGCATCCCCATCCACAGGTGGGGACTAAGTCCCAGGGAGCTAAGTACCTTGGGCAACTCGGAGGCAGAGCTGGGATGTGAACCCAGGCAGCCCAGCTTCGCAGCCTATTCCTGTAGGCACCTGCTTAGGTCAGCATGTGAGCTGCTGACTCGGGTGCTGGGCACGGAGCAACTTACGACCCAGAGTCACCCCGGCCTTCCTGTGCCCCAACCCCAGGGAACTTAGCCCGAACTAAATAGCAACAAACGTTTCTTTAAAAAGAAGGCGCTGCGTGGAGTAGCCAGCCTTTATGGGGCCCATTCTGCGTGCTCAGTGCTGAGCTAAACCTTTCACTAACATGTTGTCTTGGAATCTCTCACCAAAACGCTCAGAGGGAAGAACCGTTATTTTTCTGCCTTTCATAAATGGGGAAGCCGAGGCTCAGACTGGCCAGGAGGTCCCCCGGCCAGGAAGTGGGGAGGGGACAGACATCAGATCCCCCAGCCTGGCTTCTCAGGACTTTCATATCCGGCCTTAGAGGCCATCCATTCCCTCTACAAACACTTTTCTGCTCTGAGCTAAGCCCTGTTCTGGGGGGACACAGCCGAGATTCGGGCCCTCGGGGAACTCCAGGTCGAGTCGGAGAGGCACCCCTAGACACTGTCCCAGCTGAGTCAGAGGGCACCCATTAGGAAGAGCCTCAGATAGTCAGGGAGGTCCTCCTGGAGGAAGGGGCATTTGAGTTTGGGTCTTAAAGACTGAATAGGCATTCGAGAGTTGGAGAAGCCTGTTGTAGGCATCCATTTATACTCATTTATTCAACAAATGTTTCCCAAGGCCTTCTGGGCCCAGGCCCTATGCTGGGAGACGCTGGGGACACAGATTTGGGTCAGACCCTTGAGAAACTTCTGGTCGGATGGGGGGAGGCACAAGACAGGCACCGCAGAGTGCTCTGAGCTCTAATGGGGGTGGTCGGTCACTGTGGGAACGCGGACGGAGCCTGAGGGGCTGGGCCGAGAGGACCGCCCCAGACTGAGTCAGTTTTCCAAGCAGAAGCCCTCAGAGTGGACCCCGGAGCGCTTGCTTGTCTATTTATACACGAAACCGCTCTGGAGGCCTCCTGGGGGCGGGGCCCCGAGCCCAGCCACGCCCACCCACCGGAGTCCTGGACGTGGATCCGACCCAGGCCCCGCCCCGAGGGGCTCCCGTCTGGGGAGAGAAGCAGACCCGGTCACAACCCAGAATGGTCAGGGCCCAGACAGAGGGACAGAGCGGGCGGTGGAGTGGCTCGCCCGACCCCCAGCCCCGTTTACCGAAGCCCAGAGAGAGGCAAGGACCTGCCCCAGGTCACACGGCACACGGGGCCTCCTGACCCTGGAGTCTGCGCACTGTGCAAGACAGATGTGCAGAGACACATGACGCCCAGATGTGGAGACGCACAGACCAGGAACCGGAGACGGACTCCTTCATCCCACGTCTCCTGGGGCCGCCCGCACCCAGGCCGCAGGGTGTGCTGGGGACACAGAGCTGGTCCACACGGGCCCTGCCCTGGGCAGGCAGGCGGGGAGGCAGCGGACCCACGGCGCCGCGGGAGCAGGGCAGGAGCTCGGCGGGCTCGCATGGGCTGTCTCTCCCAGGGAGGCACCGCTCTAGGTCCCTGGAGCTGGGCCCCGTACACACTAGAGTGGCCGAGGCCGAAGAGTGACCCAGAGTCCCCAGTGCCAGGTGACCAGGGAGGACAGGGAAGCTCTGAGGGCTGGGAAGACCCCTCTGGCAAGGCCTATGTCTGTCTGTATTTCTGTCTGCTGGGACACTCTGTTAGGGTCCTGCCTGCTGGTGTGGGGTGCAGTCCTCACCGCCCAGCCCTGGCCGTGGTGACTCCTGCTGGGTTCCTTGAAGCTTGGGTGGCACCTTAGTCCCTCCTTGAACCTGAAACATTGGCTGTCATGGGGGAGGGGGGTGATTTTGCTCCTGAGGGGGCATCTGGCAATGACTGGAGGCATTTTGGATTGTCACCACTGTGGGGTGGGAGGAGCTACTGGCATTTAGTGGGTCCAGGCCAGGCAGGGGGGCTGTCATATGTCCTACACTGCACAGGACGGCCCCCGCGACAAAGAAGCATCCAGCCCCAAACGTCAGTGGTGGCGACCAAGGATGTTTGTGACTTGGAGCGTGACAAATCCTGAGGGGTGTGTGTGTGTGTGTGTGTGTGTGTGGACATGGCCATGAGTGACCTGACTGTAGGTGACAGCGTGACGGCATGTGCCCGGTTCTTGGCCCTGGGCGGCCCCTTCTTCTTTCAGAGGCTGTGACGATGCAGCCGTGTCCTCGTGCAGGCTGAAGCTTCGTGCACGTCTTTGCCGAGGGGGGCGGGGGGAGTGAGGATAAACATGGCCCTTGTCACCGATCAGGCCAGCGGGTGCGTGTGCACACGCGTGTGCATATATGAGGCTGTGACCGTGTGTAGACTGTGCGCCTGTAGGGGGGCACTGTTGGAGTTGGGGTAATTGAGTATGTGGGGTGACTCAGTGCGCAGTGGCTGCTTGGTGACTGTGCCTGAAGGTGACGACAGGGGCGCCCCCGAGAGAGAGACGTCTCATCTAACTGGCCTTCTGCCGGGCGTGCGTCCCGGGCTGAGCACGTCACCATGGTGCGTGTGGGCCTGTCCCTCTGAGCAGGTCTCATAGGCATTCGTGTGACTCAGTCTGGGACTGTTTCCTGGCCTGGCCCCGGCTCTGTGTGTCCTTCCTGGGCCCTGATGACTCTGCATGTGTGTGTGTGCGTGTGTGCACGTGTGCGTGCGTGCCTGTGTCCATCCCCCGGCCGCCTCCTGCTGTCACCGGGGCTGTGTGTGGCAGTGTCCTCTCCAGGAGCCTAGGAGTGATGGGGTGACCCGGGGTGAGGGGCTGCTGGCTCTGTCCCAGCCCGGTCCTGAGGGGCTGCTGATGGAGAGGGCCCCGGGGAGTCATTGGGGCAGCATGGGCAATTAATTCATCCGATTAATTAGCTCCTCATCCTGGGGCAGGGCAGGGCCCTCCCTCTCCAGGCGTCCAAGGTCATCCAGCCTCCTCCTCTCCCCGGCCTGGTGCCGGCTCTATCCAATGCCTCCGCTTGCCCAGCCCCCACCCCCTGGCTTCAGTCCAGCCTGCTGGCCACAGTCCACAGAGAGATGAATGGGGGGGTGGGGCCTGCTGGGCAGTGGGGCCTGTGAGCCGCACGGAAGTGTGCAGGCAGACGTGGGCCGGCGCCCACAAGAGTGTGCCCAAGTGAGCGCGGCACACGGTGTGTCTGTGTGGATGTGTGTCTGCAGAGGTCTGTGTGTGTCCGCGCACCGTGCCTAAGCGTGTGCTCGTGCACCTGTGGTAGATGTGCGTCTGGCGTGTACATGCATGCGTGTGTGTTTCTGCGTGTCTGTGTGCACATACGTGGGTGCTGAGTGCCTGCATGCGGCTGGCTCTGTGTGTGTCTGCATGAGTTGGTCACATGTACGCGTACCTGTGTGTATCTGTGTATCTGTGTCCTCATGCATCTGTGAATACGTGTGCCCATGCTCACCTGTGCATGTGTATGCATGCACCTGTGTTTGTCGCAGACATGTATGCGTGTCTGTGTGTGTGTTCTTGAATCCGCATGTGTGTCTGCACACTGTGGCTGTGTGTGTTTGTGCGCTTGGACGTGTGTACGTGTCTCTGCACACAGCATCTGTGAGTATTTGGTGTGTGAGCATGTGTCCGTGAGAGTTGGCGTGTGTGTCTGGCCCGTACACGTGTCCGTCTGCGGTCATGGGATGCTGTCTCACCGTCTCTCGTGTGTCGGTTTGTGTGCCCCAGTTTGTCTGAGTCAGTGTGGGCCTCCGGGAAGGTACGAGCTGCACGTGTCAGCTCTGAGTGTCTGCCATGTGTGTCTGGCGATGTGGATGAACGAGTGCGCGGCTGAGTGTGGGGCATGTCTGCACCTGCTGAGCCGTCCTCCGCTCCGTCCTGTCCACAGGGCTGCTGTCCCAAAGCCTGGAGTTCAGCTCTCCCGCTGACAACTACACGGTGTGCGAAGGTGACAACGCCACCCTCAGGTATGGGGACTCAGAAGGTCTCCCACGTCGGCAGAGAGGCCGTGAGAGGCACAGATTCTGGGCCTCAGCATCCCCATCTGTCAGAAGGGCGGAGGACCGGTCGGCACCATGCGGGGTGGTTTGAGGATTCAGGGGTCTGTACACATGGAGCCTGGAGAGCACGGCCCTCTGGCTGCTCAGTGAAGCGGAGCCGGGACTGTGTCCCCAGCCTCTGCCTCTGCCCGCTGCGGGCCCCTGGCCCCCTCCCTCTGGGTCCCTGTCCCTCATCTTTCCGCGTCTCTGTGCTCCTCTTCCAGGGTGTCTGTCCTCCCCTTTGTGGGGTCTCTGACACATAACAATCACTGCATGACTGTCACCTACTGTTCCATGTGCATTTGGGCCCACTACGTTCCCTCTCCAAGGCTCCGTTTACCCACCTGTAAAGCGGGCATAGTCACCTCTGCCTCGCACGGCGGGCGGTGGGCCCTGGAGATGTAATGGGCCCTCCTCCGCCCCCTCCAAGCCCCCACGATGGGACGACTGGGGCCAGGCTAGGGTGGGGGAGAGAAGCATCGTCCTGCCCTGGTCCTTCCTGGCAGC